TGTGTGGTATGAATGTGTGGTATGTTTGTGTATGTGGGTGTGTGTGGAGTATGTGCCATACAGCATTTGCATGTGTATATATGAAATGTGGTGTGCGTGTATGTGGAGTAGGCGGCTTGTGTATGTCGGTGTGGGGCATGTGATGTATATGGTAGAGTGTGCCTGTGTGTATGTGTGTGTTTTCAGGGGAACTATGGAGAATGTCATTAAAGGATGCATTTCTCATGCTCTGCTTTTACTGGAAGAGAAGGATTTCTGGAAGCAGCAGATGGTATGAAACGTGCAGCTGTAAAGTTAGAAGAAAATCAGAGTGAGGACCAGATTGGTTCTGAGGCCAGTGAAGGCGCATCCTCATAAAATCAAAGCCCTAAAGCTATAAACATCAGAGAGCAGAGCCCCAGGCAAGCTAGGGGTTGAGAGAGCCCCAGTGTGCTCACATTGATAAAAGTTCTGTTGCCAGCTTTCAGTCCACAGTCCCATAGGAATCATAGTCATCACACTGGTTCAAATACTTTGTAATTCTGCAGATGGCTGGAAGACTTCAGCATCTTCCCATTTTTACTTTAAGGTCAAAAGGATTCTAATTAAAGCTTAAAGCTACAATCTAGATGTCATTGTTTAAATGAATTCACCAAGACTACAGTTGCGGAATCTTTTTAGAGGAAATTTGACATGTAAATTTTGCACAGAAGTATAGTCTAATAATTGAGCCAAATAGTAGTGCTAAAGAATGACTTAGGGATCTGTCCTTTTAGAGTGCTTTTTTTTTTTTTTTAAAGAAAAATTTTCCCCTAGTTATAAAAGTGATGGTGGGGGTGGCTGTTGCCAGGAGTGGGGAGCAGGGAGATGCTAGAAAGAAATTTAAAATCATCTATAATTTGACCATTTGAAGAAAATCATTGTAAATATTAGTGTATTGGATTATTTTTGCAGATCTGTGTTCAAATTGTAGATATAAAGGCTATATCCCTCCATTTGCCTTAAGATTCCATTATTTTCTCATTTTCAAATCTATCTTATCTGAAGTCCAGGGAAATGCTTAATAATATTCATTTGTCTTTATGATGTGTTGTTAGGACAAGAATTTGAACAGAGTATTTATAAAATACTGAAATCAGTGAGACCCAATATTTATGTGAGCAACTTTGTGCCCAGTGGTTTTTTTACTGTCTGATTCTAATTTTCCACATACTAAAAAGAAATTTTCAAGAGATAAAAAAGAAACAAACTCCACCTGATTAACATTAAATGCCACCTGTATACAAAACTTTAGACTATAAAACTACCGTGAATTATTACAGCTTTATAAATTGTTTGTTAACTTTATTTTTAAAATTAGTTTTAAATCCATTTTAAGTTATTTCAGTCCGTAGCTGTGATCAATCCTTGTGCCTGTTAGGAATTTTGTTTAGGTACTAAGAAATAAGCTAATCTGCCTCATTAGATAACCTTTGTGTATGTAAATAGATCTTTTATGAAAACTCTGTGTTGGATTAAATGAAGTCTTCTGAAAATAATGAGATTTATAGCATGTTAAAAGTTACTGAAGTTTAAAATCTATAGATTTCTAAAAAATAGATTTAAAATGTATGGATGTGTAGTTTAGGATGTATAGATCAATTTACTAAAACAAAATAATTACAGTTGATAATAGGTACATCATTGTGACCATAGTAAACTAACCATAATATAGTTGCTCATTAATATGTCTTTTTCCTACACTGTGAACCTCCTAGAGCAATCTGTATTTTAATCATTTTTTTCATGCTAAGGATTGACATATACACAACATATACTTAATTGTTGAATTAGTTAAAATTTTGACTGTGATATACATATCACAGAAATTTCTTTTAAAGTTTCCACTTAAAATGGTGTTGATAGGGCTGGGGCTGTACCTCAGCGGCACAGCGCTTACCTAGCATGCGTGAGGCACTGGGTTTGATCCTTAGCACCACATAAAAATAAACAAATAAAATAAAGACATTCTGTCCATTTACAACTACAAAAAAAAAATGGTGTTGATTGTGACACACCACTTAAAATGATAGTTTATAGTTAAAATGAAAGCATTTCTAGGTACATTCTCATACATCATTTTTTTTTTTTTTTTTTTTTTTTTTTGGAGACAGGGTTCTTCCTATGTAGTAGCTCAGGTTGGCCTCAAATTCCTGGGCTCAAATGATCCTCCTGCTTTAGCCTCCTGGGTAGCGGGGACTATCTGTTTAAAGTGAGTGGTTCTTTTTTCAACACTGAGAGAATGATATAGAAAGACAACATAGGCCTGTGTAGATCAGACTGTATCCCACTAGAAAGCAACACAGGATTTTCAGAAATGGTCCTCTGTGCTTGGAAAAAAAATGCAGAAGCAATATGGAATTTACTTTGAAATCAAAGAATTAAGAAAGAGACGGGTGCGGTGGCTCTCTCCTATAATCTCAGTGCCTCTGGAGGCTGAGGCAGGAGGATTGCTAGTTTAAAACCAGCCTCAGCAACTTGGTGAGGCCCTAAGCAATATAGTGAGATACTGTCTGTAAAAAAAAAAAAAAAAAAAAAAAAAAAAAAAAAATTTTAAAGGGCTGGGGATATGGCTCAGTGGTTAAGCGCCCCTGGGTTCTATCCCCAGTTCATAAAAGGAAGAAAGGAATGAACTTCTCGAAGATGAATTTGTATGAACGTCTATGTTAAATATCAACAGGGTTTGGATTGGACAGAGGGGAGTGATGGGAAGGGAGTGGGTGTGGAGTTGGGAAGGATGGTGAAATGAGGTGGACATTACCTTACATACATGTATGATTACATGATGGGTATAACTCTACCACGTACAGCCAGAGGAATGAGAAGTTGTGCTCCATTTGTGTACAGTGTGTCAAAATGTATTTGACTGTCATGTGTAACTAATTGGAACAAATTAAAAAAAAAGAAAAAGAAATAGTAACAGAATTGTCACTTAAATAGTCATTGCCATTACTAATGTGATAGACTTGCTTTTTGGTTATATATCTGTCAGACACCTATGTAGAACATATACATTTATGGTTTTCCCATTTGGATTTCATTGTTTTCTGCTCTTGCTTATGTCTTTGCTCATTTGAAAATGGTGTTGATAGCTTGATAGCCCCACAGAATGCAAGTAAATTTTGGAACAAGGGGAAATCAGGGGATTGTTTTAGCTCCTGAATTTAATGACAACAGCAGATGTTATAAACCCTCAGCTTTGATAAGAAAGAATGAGGAACTTTTAAAAAAAGTTTTACACTAATCTATACCTATAGGAATATAATGATTTAGCTCAATTTAATACTTGATTAACAGTGAGAGATTAATACTGTGTTTTCTGAAGTGGAAAATAGCTTGTTACTAATAATAGGTAACATTTCCTGAATATTAGGACAGGGCCCACAGGCATAGTTTTTAGCAATCAATGCTTTCCATGGATTATTTCACAAGTCATTACAGCAACCCTAAGAGATTGATGCCTGTGCCCATTTCACAGATGAGACACCTGAAGCTTGCTGAGATAATGGGATTTGCCCATGGTCACACAGGGAGTGAGGGTTAACATCAGGTTAGGAGCCAGTTGTGCTCACATGCTGGTCCTTGACCCTGTGCTCCACTGGCTGTTACTAACTTTATCAATAAGCAGTGTGGACATCATCACCTTACCAGTGCAGCCCTCTATGTAGGGATTCTAACTTGGTCTCTATTTTGAAAGAGAAATCAGTATCCATCAAGTACCTCTAGTAATGATTGGTACATTCAAGGGCTAATTGAAGGCTCATGAAACTGTATGAGGTAGGAAAGATCATTCCATTTTAAGAATAAAGAAACTGGCTGAGTCGCTAAATTGCCTAAATACAGATGATCAGCGGAGAAGTGAAACCCAGCTTCATCCTGATTCCAAGATGAATGTCCTTGCCTTTGCAGTTCAGCCTGCTTCAGAGTCCATGTGGAGCCACTCTGCTGCGCTCCAAATGATCTGATGGATACAAATTTCCTTACCCCTTACTATGACAGACTGCATGGAAATAGATGAGATGGTGTTGTGATTATAAATAGATCTTCCAGTAACTTGGCTCATTTTTAGCATGTCTTTTTATAATTAAAGATTTTATTAGGTCTGTATGGGCAACATATTAGAAAAATATTTTTATTTTCAATAAACCATATAGACATTTTATGAGAATTGTTTTAATAACTATTTAAAATATGGCTCATATTGTATAGGACAAGTTAGAGACTGTTAATGTCAAAGAGTTGGAAGTAATGTTTAAGCCTTCACATTTGTGAGCAAAACAATATATAGTCCTTACTCTTGAACCCAGAGGTGTTTAACCCTGAGCTACATCTCTAGCCCTGTTTATTTTTTATTTTGCATCAGGCTTTCCCCAAGTTAAAGCTGATTTTGCTTAGGGCCTTATTTAGTTGGTGAGGCTGGCCTTGAACTTGGGATCCTTTTGCCTTTGCCTCTTGAGCCACTGGGATTATAGGCTTGAGCCACCTTGCCCAGCTGAACCCAGTTCTTTAAAACATGTCCTTAACAGGGACTGGGGCTGGGGCTCAGTGGAAGTGCACTTGCCCAGCATGTGTGAGGCACTGGGTTGGATTCTCAACACTGCATAAAAATAAATAAAGATCTGTCAACAACTAAAAAAAAAATTTTTTTAAAAATGTGTTGTTAATAATGTTTTCTGAACATTTGTTCAGGTAAGTCGGTTTTGACAGAGTTTATGAGAACAACACAACCCGCCAAAATGAGTCTCAGGATTTGATCTTTTCATTTCATGGAGCTTCCTGCAAATTCATCATTTGTCCTTATCACAGGTTTTCCTGTGTTTGCTTTAATTAGCATTGCATTGTTTGCAGTGGAGTTTCTGAGTTGGATAAAATGATATAAACATGAACAAAATGTTAAAGACTCACTTTTTAAGTGTTCAGAACCATAAAAAAATCCTTAAAAAATGCATTCAGGCCCCCCACCCCTCCCAGTGTGGATGGCGGCGGCTAGAGTCGGAGCCCCAGCTACGCTGCACAGACAACATATCTGGTTCCTTGACAAGGCCACAGCCTCCTCCTGAAGATGTGCTCCACAAACCCAGGCAATTGGGTCACCTTTGATGACGACCCTGCTTTTCAGTCTTCTCCAAAGTCCAAGAATTTCCCTCTGGAGAATCAAAGTGTCTGTAGACCAAATGGACTTAAACTGAACCTGCCTGGTCTCAGAGAATTTCCCAGTGGGCCTTCCTCCACCAGCAGTACCCCGCTGTCTTCTCCCATTGTTGATTTTTACTTTAGTCCGGGACCTCCAAGTAATTCTCCCCTTTCTACACCAACCAAAGACTTCCCAGGTTTTCCCAGCATCCCTAAATCAGGGGTTCATGTCCTTTATCCCATTCCAGAATCTTCTCCAAACTGTCCACTTGTGCCAGCAGGAACAGGTTCCTCCTTATTGTCTACTAAGTCCACCTGTGTCTCCCAGGCTTTCGTACCTAAGGACCCCTCATGTACACCTCCAGCTCCCAGAGTGGGTCTCTCAGATGAAACGAGTCCTCAGCAGGCTGAAGGTGGAGGTCTGCAAAGTGATGCTCCCCAGTTTCAGTATTTTCAGGAGGACTGCGCTTTTTCAAGTCCATTTTGGAAAGATGAAGGCAGCACTTCTCAGTTCACCTTTGACCCCTTGGGAAGCAGAAAGACTTTCTCATCAAGAGACAGGGAGATGCCTATGGATCAAAAAAGCCTAAATAAATGTTCCCTTGACTACATCTGTGAGAAGCTTGAACACTTCCAGTCAGCCGAGCACCAAGACCCTCTTGGAAATTTGTCTGCGCAGTGTCCCTATGCCGAAGACTCTATCTCTTCCTTTGTCCCCCATACGCTTTTCAGGAGTCAGCCCAAAGCCGGATGGTCCTTCATGCTGAGAATCCCTGAAAAGAAGAACATGATGTCTTCCCGGCAATGGGGCCCAATTTTTCTGAAAGTCTTACCCGGAGGAATTTTGCAAATGTATTATGAGAAGGGCTTGGAGAAGCCATTCAAAGAGTTCCAGCTTGACCCACATTGCAGACTTTCTGAACCCAAAGTTGAGAACTTTAGTGTGGCGGGGAAAATCCATACTGTGAAGATTGAACATGTGTCTTACACAGAAAAAAGGAAATACCATTCTAAGACAGAAGTCGTTCATGAACCAGACGTAGAGCAGATGTTGAAGTTGGGGTCCACAGAGTACCGGGACTTCCTGGACTTTCTGACTACTGTGGAGGAGGAGCTGCTGAAGCTGCCAGTCGTTCCCAAACCAAAGAAGAACTATGAGGAGCAAGAAATTTCCCTGGAAATTGTGGACAACTTTTGGGGTAAAGTCACAAAAGAGGATGGGAAATTGGTTGAAAGTGCTGTCATAACTCAAATCCATTGCCTCTGCTTTGTGAATGGGAACGTGGAGTGCTTTTTAACCTTGAATGACCTTGGACTGCAAAAGCAAGATGAATGCTGTTTTGAAAAAGATCCAGAAAAGAAGTGGATCGAGATTCTTGACTACCATTTTCATAAGTGTGTGAAAGGACAAGAATATCAGCAGTCAAGAATCGTTAAGTTTGTCCCTCTTGATGCCTGCCGGTTTGAGCTGATGCGTTTTAAGACTTTGTATGATGGGGACGAGCTTCCCTTTTCTGTGAAGTCCATCGTGGTTGTCCAAGGCGCCTACGTGGAACTTCAGGCCTTTGTCAACATGGCCCCGTTGGCTCAGAGGCCATCCCACTCTACTTCCTTGAGGTGCTGTGACAATATAATGATACACTTTCCTGTCCCGTCTCAGTGGATCAAGGCTCTCTGGACCATGAACCTCCAGAGGCAGAAGTCCCTGAAAGCCAAAATGAACCGCAGGGCCTGTCTGGGGAGTTTACATGAACCTGAATCTGAACCTGTCATTCAGGTCACTGTGGGGTCAGCCAAATATGAGAGTGCCTACCGGGCTGTGGTGTGGAAGATAGATCGGCTTCCTGATAAAAATTCAAGTAAATATTCAACACCTAAGTTGATTTTCTTAGGAAATAACATAAATGTTTTTTCCCTTCTCCTTGGGTTGCAACCAGGCAGAGACAGATGGTAACTTGTCAGCTGAGGCCAGTTCACCTAGACCTGTGGGAAAGGGAACAGTTAGCCCAACAGCTGGTTTATTTGTTTCCTTTTGGGCCTATTTCTACCACAGAAGTTTAACTTTTTACATCTTTCTTAATATCTGAAGAGAGAGGATCCTGGGCTAGGAGTTTGTTGTGGATGGTGCATGAGGGAAAATATGCAGACATACCCTTGGGCTTTTTGACATCAACCTGTCAACATCAAATATTAAAAATGTTTCTAACATAAAAAAAAAAAAAAAAAATGCATTCAGATTTTATTTATTATAATATTGTGCTATGGTTCTAAGGATTGAAGACTCTCTGGTATTTAAAACAAACTCACATTGAGGTAATAAAGGTAGAAATTGTAAATATATAACACCCCAGAAGGCAGGAATTCTATCCATGAACTGATTTCAGATCAAATTTCAGAAGAGGAGCACACATACTATGTATTAGCTAAACTTAAAAATTTTTATAAGCAACATAATTTATTATCCAAATTTAGAAAAACAGAGGGAAAGATCACCTGTAATCCCCTTAACTCAATCAAACCTCTGTTAGTATTAGAATTCATGAATATTTTTTGACAGTAAAGATGAACCAGTGAGCTTGCTCGATTTTCATTTTTCAGATGTTGGATGCATGACGAGGCAAATGCTGTTCTCAAGAACATATGGAACTTGAGAATGTATGAGTGTGTATGCATGCATGTGTTTGTTCTAGGGTGGAACTATAACCACTTGGATAAGATGCTACTCCTTACTGTTTTTTATTTATTGATCTAATAACTCCACGGATATTAGGAGTCCAATTGGTAGGAAAGTAGGTTTTATGCAAAGCCAGCTTTGAAGGAATGTAGAAGAAAATTTTTGGTTTCAGATTTCTATCTTTGAAAGCCAGAAAGGCTTTTAAAAGAGAAGAAGCAGCCAAGTGGGACAAAAGGCAGGAAATACACATGCAGATTTAGTCAGCCTGTGAGAGAGCAGGCAGGCTGGGGCAGGGGCAGCTCTCAGCTTCCTTGACTCTGTAGGGTGGGGGTGGGGGGGCACAGCCTTACTGCCTTGACTCTCAGTATGAGGAAGTAAAAGTAGTTATTAGGAAGTTGTTTTTTAATTTCAAAGGGTCTGTTTTATATTCATGCACATACTTATGTGCGTATATGTAAATACATGTATATTCATGTTATATGCACACACACTAACACCAGTAAATTTGTATAATATTTCTTCCAAAACAATCTTCACCTATCTGATGTTTTTGTGATATTGTTGATGACAGTAACATTTATTTTTAACTGCAAGATTTTGGATGGTTCCCACACTTAGTATCTCCCAGGCTTTCATGGCCAAGGTGGATTATGTATATAAGACTTCAAACTGGGAACTTGGTAGGACTGGATAGTGGGAATTTTGATTTTAAAAAATTTTTATTTATTATTATTTTTGGTACTGGAGATTGTACCCAGGGGCACTCTACCATTGAGCTCAATTCCCAGTACTTTTTATTTTGAGATAATCTATGTTGAGGGTCTTGCTAGATTTCCCAGGCTGGCCTCAAAATTAGATCCTCTTGCGTTAGTGTTTTTTTTTTTGTAGTTGGACTCATACCTTTATTTTACTTATTTATCTTTATGTGGTGCTGAGGATCAAACCCAGGGTCTTGCATGTGTGAGGGGGCTCTACCGCTTAGCCACAATCCCACCCCTTGCCTTAGTTTTTTGTGTAGGTGGGTTTATAGGTGTGTGCCACTGCCCCTTGGCTGGTAGGAGTAATTTTTAAGTGAGCATTTTTGGATTGACATAAAGCTAATTTTGTTATTAGTATCCAAAGTGGGGGAAGAAAGGTATTTTGCTAGAGGATGAAATTGAAAAATGAAGATTTTAATTTCATTCCACTCCTTCCTGTAAGGGGAAGTGACCCTTCTGCTCTGCTTTCTGGCAGGTAAATGATTTCTTACACCTTTGTATCCCTGTCCTTCTCAAAGGGAAGGCCACTGCTGAACTGAGAACAAGGCCCATCTACAGCACTGTGGTGGTGTCCTTACACACTCTGGGGTGCTTTGGGCATTTCATGGATTGCTTTTCACACCTGCCTTCCCATCTGGGAAATACTGTCAACTCCCTCTCCACCTGATTACAGAGGCTGTCAGACCAGATGCTAAAGTGCTTAATACCTTTTATTCAGAAGATTCCAGGCCTCCAGGAGCCCAGTTTCCTTCTTTCTTGCAGATCAAGCTTCCTGGTGAGGTGTGGGGAAGTGCTTAATGAGCTTTAGAAATGGTTCCTGAGCCAGCCACCAAACTGTTACTAATAAATTCAACTCTGGAAGCTACTTGAGATTAAGACATCTTAATGTCTGCTTTGATTAAAATATACACAATACACAGTAATTCATTAGTTTCTCTTAGTAGTGAAAACCTACTAGGAAAAAAATGCAGCAGGCATCAATCAGAATGTTTAGCTTTGCCCTTGTTGGTGACCTTGGGCAAGACATCTTGACTAAAATAAAAGGGGTCATATGGCTGTTTCATAGGTTTTCTAAGATCCTTCTATAGGATGGACAGTTTTGCTTCATCCCAAAAAAGTATAAAAGAGGAGTAGTCTTCTTCATCACCATCTTCTTATTTGTCATCCTTACTGTCTTAATCTTCTTTTTTTGAGTACTAGGGATGAAACCCCAGGGCATTTTACCACTGAGCTAGATCCCCAGCCCTTTTAATTTTTATCTTGAGACAGGGTTTCTCTATAAGTTGTTGAGGCTTGCCCAAAACTTGTGATCTTCCTGTCTTAACCTTCTCTGGGATTACAGGCAGCACCACCAAGCCAGGCCCTCTTCTTCTTCCTCCTCCTTCTCTCTCCCTTTCCTTATCCTCCCCCACACCCAGTTTTTTTTTTTTTTCCAGTACTTCTGTGGTGGCCTCAATAATTCCCGTAGCACACACTTTTTGTTTGTTTGACAGGAAGTTGCTTTTCAGTTAAACTTGAACTTTTCTACTGAGGCTGAATATGGCTGAGGTAAACTGTTTAAAATATAGGTTTTAGGGGCTGGGGAGGTGGCTCAAGCGGTAGCGCGCTCGCCTGGCATGTGAGCGGCCCGGGTTCGATCCTCAGCACCACATACAAACAAAGATGTTGTGTCTGCCGAAAACTAAAAAAACAAATAAATATTAAAAAATTAAAAAAAAAATATAGGTTTTAGTATTATTTAGGTATAGGAAGGCCAACAGGTCAGGAGACCACTGCTAATGGAAAGAGCTGGTGCTCAAGTTTCCTGCAGGAGAGAGGGTACACTGTGGCACACAGGGCCATGTGGGGAAACACCAGGATTGCTCAGGAGGCAAAGGGGATGAGGGGAAAACATGGGCAGGAGCCTTTATTGTGGCTTCTGCTGAAAGGACCAGGCAAGATAGGGTGAGCAGGTTTGGCTTTGGTTATTCTGAGTAATTTCAGGGGACTCTGGGGCATAGGAGCTGGCCCTGATTGTCTGCTAACTGGCTCTGGGTTGATCAGAGAATTATTGCCTGGAGTGTGAGAACTGGATATAGGAGGATGTGTTCTGGGCGGGGTAGGTCCCTGAGTGGGTTAATTTGCATATGAATGGTGTGTTGGAGGTGTGTTATTTACAGTTCTAGGAATGAGCCAATTTAGGGAGGGACTGGCTGTCCAGGGTCAGCCAGCTTCAGAGAGAGACAGAAAATACAAGGCAATGTTAATATAGAGTCAGCTGACTTTGATGATCAGATGTACCACCCCTCTCTCCCTTCCTACGTCTTTTCTCTGTGCACCTACCTCTTACCATTTTCTGCACTCCATTTCTTTTATTTTACAAAATATAAGTTTGGTAACATGATCAATAAAAGGTGTCTTACTGTAGTTGAAAAGCTGTATTGATTTACACTGTGTTTTCTTTACACGAATACTGAAACACTGAAATTTGCTTTGATTCTCGAACAACTAAATTTCCCAGGTTTTCCAAGTTACCTCCCTCACTCAAAGAGAACAGCATGGCATGGTTCTTATTTGTATCATTTTTTTTTTTCTTTTTGAGTGACCATTTCTGAGCTAGTGTTCTGATACTGGTGGGTATCCACTTGGGATTCAGGTTCTTGGCGTTCTGAACATAGAATTGAGCAAGTCATACAAACTTAACAGGCCAAGTGTGGATTTATTGAAAGTGACAGTGAAAGTAATACTCCATAAAGCAGAGCAGACCCAGCAAGGACCCCATGTGTGAGCCAGTCACTCTGCCTTGGTTCTTCCTCCTTATGGATGTAAGTGAAGACCCTGCCTCATTTGTTCTCATTGGTTACTTTTTTTCCCCTAATTAGAATACAGAACCTGGCTAGGAGTTGCCTTCAGTGGTCAAGTTGTCACTATCTTTCCTGAACTACCTCAGTTCCACCTATTTCACTCTTTTTTTGGGGCACATAGTATTGATTTTACTCCTATAAACTTGTGCTGAAGGTTTATACCTTAGCTAAGGGTTCTCAGCCCATCTCTTTTAGAATCTAGTTTTGTTTTCAGTGTCTACCAGCAAAGTTGCGGCTCCACAGCAGATTGCATCATTTGGTAATCACCACCAAGTGTGGATTTTGTTTTTATGCAGTAGATTGGTTTGCATTTCCCTGAGAATATTTTAAGAATAAACAACTTTGATCAGGCATGGTGTTGCACACCTGTAATCCTAGTTACTTCGGAAGCTGAGGCAAGAGGATGGAAAATTTGAAGCCAGCCTTGACAACTTAGTGAAACTCAGTTTCAAAATAAAATTTAAAAAAGGGCAGGGGATGTAGCTCAGTGGTAGAGCACTTGCCTAGAATGTGCAAGGGTCCACAGCTTCAATCCTCAGTCCACTGCCCACCAACACAAGAAGGAAAAGTTCTTAATACTACTCTTACCTTCTTCTATTTTTAAATAGACATCTCACAATTGAAATTATTTTTACAAATAGTTCAGAATGGGAAAAACTTTCTCATCATTAACAGAACATTTCAGCATGAAATA